GGTGGTCAAGTTAAGAAAAGTTATTTCTGTTTTATACGGTGTTCAATTATGTTAGGTCATGTTCATTTGTAACGTTTTATCCGGAACTTTCATTTTTTTCTGTTTACAACATTTAATATTTCTGTTTTTACTCCTTATGTGTTTTATCGGTGACTAAACAGACTAGATTCGACAGGCTCTTTTCTTGCCTATTTGTTGAGTCACATAGAATTATGGTACTAATTAGTCAAAAAACCAAGTTTGGGTTGACATCATCAACTTTCCACTATTCAACGGTGAAAGTCCGATGGTTACCACACCATTTTGTGGCCTGAAACGTGCTTCTGGCTATTATTCTGGAGTTTAATCTGAAATTTTTTTTATTAAATTGCTAGTCCTTATACTACTTTCAATCATTGACAAACTTGCATTAATCTTGGCCAAATAGTATCTTCACGAAACTTTTTAGGCTTTGCCTATCTAACGTATGGAGCTTTTTCCAGCTACCCAAAGCCAACGGTTTTCTACTCATATTTCTTCAAAATGCGCTCAGCGTTTCCATTAAAAAAAGTAGATTTTGCAATGTTGCGGAAATAACTTTAAAAAACATAACAATTTGTCGTGTTTTGAAAACGCTAATGGATTTGATAATGGGAATCCTCCTTAAACTTCTTAGTCATTGCTCAAGGAAATCAGTGGTCAAAAAATTCTAATGATTCCAATGAGCCATTGGGGACCTACTCAATGTCGTTAGATAATTTACGTGTCCACAACTGCATTCCATTATTTCTTCAGGGATGTGTTGTAATTTTTCAATTATGTTTTCTGTTTTCGCCGCAATCAGAAACGAGAGTCAACAAAGTGAAGCCTTTTGAGAGATTTGCTTCAATTATCGATTAACTAGCAAGATAAGCTTCCAGGAAAGTTTAAATTAGAGAAGGAGGGTATGCTTTGTGCTTCTTCATCTCTGCCTTGAACTTGGTGCTAGTACTACTAAGAATTTCCAGAAAATTTCAGCCCAGATACTTACAGCATGGTAACGCGATTATTTTTGCTAGCCATTGCTGTCACGACTACAGTTTCTGCACTAAACTTCACAATGCGAACTGTCAGTTCTCATACGTTAAGTACAGAGCAACGCGCGTGAGTTTTGGTTGCTCTTATTTTTTTCCGCTTATAACGCTTAAAGTTCTTCGAGGCTATCGAATACTTATACATCAATACGTGATTATATAGAATTACAGTTGTTTCTATCGCTTTGTGATTTATTGGAGAATTGCGTTGAATAATGAGATAATAATAACTTCATGTTTTCTCTTT